GCCAATTCCAGACAGCCCAGAAGACCTGCCAGGTGCCCTATGGAGGACAGACACAGCGGGAGGCCCCGGGGAGGAAATACTCCACGCAGGGCCGGGGGCACGAGCTACTTGGATCTGCAGCCACCCCCAAGCCAGCAACCCAGCGCTGAGGATCCCGGTTCTGCCAAAGGACTTGAGTTCTGCCAAATAATGACCTTGCACGTAGACCTTCCTAGAGCCCTTGGCCGCCCTAGTCGCATCCACCGCTCTCAATCACCCAGGTGGCCAGGCCACACGAGGCTTCCCATCCTCCACTCACAAGCTGGGGCGCCAGAAGGGGCACTGGGTCCCCGCTTTGTCCACAGGGTAGGGCTGAGCAGGCCCGCGACCGCCCCTCTAAGGCCCAAGGGACTTTGCCGCACACCTCTTCGAGCTCCCGACGCCAGGGCGTCTTCCCCGTGCTGCCCAGGGTCCCCGTCCCAGAAGGAGCGGGCTCCGCCACAAGACTCAGAAAGTGAAACCTCTCGTGGTTAAATCGCGGACGGAGGCACTTCCTCCACTCTCACCGCAGCACGAGGCTCAGGGGGTGGGGGCTCCACGGAGCTCACGGCTGTGGACCGGAGCTCCCCAGACCGTGCCTGGAAAAGCAGACCCTTCCAGCAACAGTCATCATAACTGATTACATGTAAACGCAGGGGACGTGAGAGCGGGCCCCGGAGCGAGTCCCCACATCTCCCAGCCTGGGCTGGGGCTCGGGGAGTCAAAGCTGGACGAGGCCATCCAAGGGCGCTTCCTGCTCCCGGAGTCTTCTGGGACACGCACAGCCACCCTGCCAGGCGCCAGAGGCCACGCTCCACGCCTCCCAACACTGGGCCAACAGAGGCCCAGCCCTTCCCGTGGGGCCACCGCGCCCCATGCTGGATCCCGGGCCTTGTCGCTGCCCCGTGGGGGCCGGCGCAGGCAGGACAGGAAGCCTCCGGAACTAACCATCCGGCTTTATTTAGAAAGCCTGGAGCCACTCCGGCTCAGCCCCGCTAGCAGCCTCAGGCCTCCAGGAACAGGCTTCCCATGGAAGTCCTCACAGTTCCAGCCACAAACCTGCTGCAAGGAACTGCCCGGGGCCCCCTCCATAGTTCACCAGCGAGAAGGAAACGTAACAGCCAAGAACTGCCCTGTGAGAGGCAGAGGCCCGGCCGGCCTGGGGAACGGGGCCCCAGGATGACGGCCGCGCAGCACGGCCGCCGAAGCAGCACGTATGCTAAGCGCAGCGTACATGACCGTCACTCCCGTTCCCATCCACAGCTGTCCCCGCCATCCACGGAAGTGTTAATAAGATCAAACCTGAAACACCACAGGTATAAAACAATGTACGTATACACATCCATGCATATACTCAGAAGTGACTTCACGCACACACGGCTTTGACCGTACATCGAGAAATACTCAAGGCCAGCATGGCGGCTCACACCTGTAATCCCAGCACTTTGGGAGGACGAGGCAGGTGGCTCACAAGGTCAGGAGATCGAGATCATCCTGGCTAACACGGTGAAACCCTGTCTCTACCAAAAATACAGAAAAATTAGCCGGGCAAGGTGGCACATGCCTGTAGTCCCAGCTAGTCGGGAAGCTGAGGCAGGAGAATCTCTTGAACCAGGGAGGCTGAGGTTGTAGTGAGCTTAGATTGCACCACTGCACTTCAGCTTAGGTAACAGAGTGAGACTCTGTCTCAAAAAAAAAAAAAAAAAAAAAACTCTAAGCACTCATGAAAACTGCTAAGAAAATAATTTGCGCTGATTATCCATCAGCTTTGCAGCGAGCTTCTTACGTGGTATGCTACCCCTCGGCAAAGAGTCTCAAGCGGGGCGACGTGCACCCCAGGGACGATGAGCCCTGTCTGGAGACATGTATGCTTATGACCTCGGGGAGCTCCTGGCATGGAGTGGGTGGAGGCCTGGGACGCTGCTCAGAGCCCTGCAATGCCCAGGGCGGCCCCACCCCACTGCGCACAGGGCCCCGGGGAGACCTGCTGTGTGTAACGGAGGGGCCCATCTGAGGCGTGAACAGCACATGTGAACCGCCGTGGGAGAGGAGGCACGGCAGCTAGAGCCCCGTCCAGCTCTAGGGCTCGATACGGTCTGTCCACACACAGAAACAGGGCATGGAAAGTCCTCACAGGCTGACCCACCTAACAGGCCATGTGCAGCCCCAGGAAGGCAGCTGAGGAGAGCTCATGGACACAGTGTTCTTCCAGAACACGCTCCTCCTGGTTGCAAACCCAGGCATCGGGCAGGACCCTGGAACCCTGCGGCCCCGAGCCTGGAAGGAACCAGCACCACCCCCACACACAAGACACTCCCGGGGCCCAGATGCCACAAGACGGCAGGCCTCTGCCTCCCCAACATCCACTCCACAGCGCGGCACCGGAGCCACGGGGGAGAAGGAGGGCTGGAGCCCCACCGCTAAGGGGCAGGGGAGGAAACAATTCCAGGGAGAAGTAGGCCCGGCCGAGCTTGGCCTCCTGCACAGCGCCAGGACCTCCACCCAGAGGTCTCAACATTTCATGGGGCGCAGGCAACAGAACCACCTGCTGCAGCCCAACAGCCCTTCCTCCCGGGGCGCCGCGGCCTCCCCTCCAGCTGCTCCCTAAAAAACGGGGCAATCACAAGCTCGAGGCTGGCCCATTGGGAAAGTGGAATGAGTTCCCACAAGCAGGCAGGGAGCCTGGCAGAGGTCCTCTCCCCTGTACCCCGGACCCCAGCCCCCCGGACATCTGGTGGTCAAAGTCCTCGAAGCAAGGGACTCTCCAGCTGGGACACAAGGTGGCTTGGATAGGAAGTGTTCTGAGGGTCTGCACATCAGATTTCCAGAGGGCTTCCTGGCCCCAACACCTCGGGTGTGAAGCCTTCCCAACCCCCTGGCAGCCCCCGGGCCTCTGCTTGGCACTGACACCTGTCCTCCTTGGGTTGCATGTGAGCTCACGTCTTCCTCACTGTCCTATCTGCCCAGCCTGGCCTGGGCCTGACAGCAACCTCCCATCTTACAGGCTGATGGGGTCAACTTCCAGGCTCACACAGAGGGGTGGGACGGCAGAAATCCCCTGGGCACAGGTGGGCACCGGACAGAGGATGCGAGATGGGTCCCGTCATTCCCAGACTCGCTCCAGGTAGCCAAGGCTGCAGACATGGGGGCCCCTGACCTTCGTCCTTGAACCCCGTGTCAATCTCAAGTCCAAAGTGCAGGCACAGAAGCCTGGGTGCACGAGGGAAAGGCAGCAGGGGTTCCAGAGGTCACAGAGCTGCAGGGCAAGTCCATCTGGTAAGATCTTTATGACACCAGCAATTCCTAACTCCCCTCCTTCTACACAAAGTCCACGACCCACGGCAAAAGCCAGCCAGTGCCACTCTGTCCAAAGTGCCACCATGCAGGCCCCCTGCACACTTCCTCCAAGTGTTAGGGACACGGCTCTGCCTACCCGCATCCCCTGGAAAGATGGCCCATTTTAGAACCCTTAGGAAAATTAAAACGCAAGTTTGGGGGGAAAACAATCAGGAAGGCATTTCATCCGAGGCACCTCTCTAACGCGGGACATTGGAGGGTCACGGCAGGAGAGGCAGTCTGCTCCCTGCACAACAGGTGACCTGTCTCCCCAAGAGCCACCACCACCAGCACAGGCAGGGCTGACCCCAGAGGGCCCCCTCCTCCTCCATCACTGCTGCCTCTGCAGGCATTTCAGACCTTCCCCACCGCCCCTCCGGCCCAGGAGCTCACCTAGGAGCTCAGGAGGGTGGGGGTGGGGCAGGGCAAGGGCTTGTTTTGTAAACGACTGCAAGGGCCCTTATTTTGGGTGACAACACTTTACAGCTGGCCCGATTGGCTTCCTGCAGCAGGTGTGCCTTGGGGAGAAGGAGGCACACCGCAAACCCTCTCCGGGAAGGTGGGGAGGAGCCGGGATGCGGGGGGCTGCTCCCCACTAGGGCTCCGCGTGGCTCCCACCAAGACTGTAAGGAAGGGGGCGGGGGAGGCTGCCGAGGTGGCTGCTTCTGAGAAGGCGCAAAGGCTCCCTCAGGTGCCAACCGCCCCACCCTCGGCTGAGCAGAACCCTGAGGAGAGGAAAGACGGTCTTGTTCCCACAGGGCGGATTCCAGCCGAGAGGAGGATGGGATTTCCCGGAGCAGGAAGGCAGGAGGACAGCCCCTAAGGGAATGGGGGGATAGGGGGCGCGAGGAGTCTTCCAGTGGGTGGACGGGGCCTGCAGGGAGGGAACAGGGCTCTGCCTGGTGGGAAGGGTCAACGCGGGGCCCTGGGAGGTGAGGGGTGGATGAGACCCGTGGGTTACATCCCAAAGCTCTGGCCCTGAGATGCTGGGGGGGTGGGGGTAGCCAGGGGCGGGTACTCGGCGAAGTAAGGTCAGAGGGCTCCTGTGCAGGGAGGGGACTGGTCTCTTGAAAAGGGACAGAGGGCAAATCCTGAAGGGTCCTGCCCAATGTGGACGGCAGAAACTGGGAGCTGACCTGGGAGGGATGAGGGCCTGATCCGGACATGACAGACAGGGTGGACCCCGGAAGGTCCCTGCTGCCAACATGAACAGTTAAGGCAGGGGCGGACCACAAAGAAACCTGGGCCCTGGGGCTGACCCGGGAGGATCCCAGCTGCCGACCTAGACAGCAAAAGCAGGGCTGACCCCGGGGGGTCCCGCGACCCGGACGGCACAGGCAGGGCTGACCCCGGGGGGTCTCGCGACCCGGACTGCACAGGCAGGGCTGACCCCGGGGGGTCCCGCGACCCGGACGGCACAGGCAGGGCTGACCCCGGGGGGTCCCCGGCCCGACCCGAAAGGGCAGCGCTGACCCCGGAGGGTCCCGCGACCCGGACGGCACAGGCAGGGCTGACCCCGGGGGGTCCCGCGACCCGGACGGCACAGGCAGCGCTGACCCCGGAGGGTCCCCGGCCCGACCCGAACGGGCAGGGCAGGCGCATGCAGGGCAGGGCCCGCAGCCGGCAGGCCCGGCGGCCGCACTCACCGAGGAGCAGCAGCTTGAGCTCGCGCCGGGCGTCGCGCTTGTCCCGCCGCAGCTGCTTCTCGATCTCGGCGTTGATCCGCTTGGACTCCTTCACCTCATCGCTCAGGCAACACGCCATCATGGACTCCAGAGTCATCGTCCCGGCCCCGGCCGCCGCGGCCGCCTGCCCGCCGCCGCCCCCCGGCCCCCGGCCCGGCCCTGGCCGGAGCCGCCTCGGCCGCCGCCCGCCTCGGCCCTGCGGCCTCGGCCCCCCGGCCCTCCGCCCCGGGCCGGCCCGCCCCGCCTCGGCCGCTGCCTGCGAGCCGCCGGGTCCCCGCTCCGGCCGCGCCAGCCGCGGACTCCCGCGCGGCCGCACTTAGCCCGCGCCGCCGCCGCAGCCACCGCCAACCGCAGTCGCCGCAACCGAGCGACAGCGCGGGACAACCTAGCTGGCTGGGAACGCAGCCCGCGACTGGCAGGCAGTGGGGCCAATGGGAGGGGCCGGCGGCCAAGCGCGCCCACCGCTGGGGCGGGAATAACGGCCTGGGCGGGGCGTCAGCGGGCGCGAAAGGGGCGGGGCGAGGCGAGGGCGGGGGGCCCGGGTTTGGTTGCGCCGACGTGGGAAGGGGGACGCGCAGCCGGGAGCCGGGGCGGGGCCGCCCGGGATTGTGGGAATGTGGCGGACTCAGCCGGCCAGGCTCGGCTCCGTTCGGCCCCGTTCGGCCCCGTTCGGCCCCGCTCGGCTCGGCCCGCTCGGTCCAGGCCGGGAAGAAGAGAGGTGCAAGCTGCCACTGCGCTCTCTGGGTCTCTAGGTGCCTGGGCCGCCGTCGCTGCCCCCGGGAATTGCCCTCACATTGCCTGACAGGAACCTTCTCTCATCCGTTAAAAAGCGTTAAGTGGAGGCTGGGCGCGGTGGCTCACGCCTGTAATCCTAGCACTTTGGGAGGCCGAGGTGGGTGGATCGCCTGAGGTCAGGCGTTCAAGACCAGCCTGGCCATCATGGTGAAACCCCGTCTCTACTAAAAAATACAATAATTCGCTGGGCGTGGTGGTGCTCACCTGTAGTCCCAGCTACTCGGGAGGCTGAGGCAGAATTGCTTGAACCCAGGAGGCGGAGTCTGCAGTGAGCCGAGATGGCGCCACTGCACTCCAGCCTGGTGCCTGGCAACAGAGCGACGCTCTGTCTCAAAAAAAAAAAAGCGTTAGTGGGACACCTACTGTGTATCAGGCATTAATGGGACGCCTTCTATATACCGGGCACGGATTAGAGATTAATGGAGCGCCGCTTGTGCAGCAGACATGACCCAGGCATAAATGCAGCACCTGCTTTTACCGTACAGGGTACCAGCATTCATAGAGTGCCTACTGTATACGATGTATGAGCACCCGGGAGGGTCCCAGGTACCAGTGTGAACAGCACAGGCTGGGGGCTGACCCCAGAGGGATCCGGGGCACCAGCATTCATACAGTGCCTACTGTATGCCAGGTATGAACCGGGCATTAATGCAGTGCCTGCTATGTACTAGGCACGGAACAAGTATTAATGCAGCACCTGCTGTGTACCACACAGGGCACAAGGATTAACAGAGTCCCTATTGTAAACCAGGCACCGACCAGGTATCAATACAGCACCTGTTGTATGTCATACAGGGCACAAGTAATAGTTGAGTGCCTACTGTATATGAGGTATGAGCCAGGCATTAATGCAGCACCTGCTGTGTACCACATAGGGCACAATCATTAGCAGCAGAGTGCCTATTGTAAGACAGGTATCAATCAGGCATTCCAGCACAGGCACAAGCATTAATGGAATGCCTACTGTATATACCAGGCACTGTTGTAAGCCTGTTAAACTAACTCTACTCAGGGGATTTTTTTTTTTTTTTTTTTTTTGAGGTCGAGTCTTGTTCTGTCAAGCTGGAGTGCAGGGCCGTGATATCTCGGCTCACTGCACCCTCCACCTTCCAGGTTCAAGTGATTCTCCTGCCTCAGCCTCCTGAGTAGCTGGGATTACAGGCATGTGCCACCACACCCTGCTAATTTGTGTATTTTTACTAGAGACAGGGTTTCGCCATGTTGGCCAGGCTGGTCTTGAGCTCCTGACCTCAGGTGATCCACCGCTTCAGCCTCCCAAAGTGCTGGGATTACAGGCGTGAGCCACTGCACCCAACCTAATTTTTTATATTTATAATAGAGACGGGGTTTCCCCATTTTGGCCAGGCTGGTCTCTTACTCCTGGCCTTAAGTGGTCCTCCCGCCTTGACCTCCCAAAGTGCTGGGATTACAGACGTGAGCCGCCGCGCCTGGCCACGTCTTCATCCTTATTTTTTGCAGGTGAAATGGAAGTGGCCACCAGAATTTGTAAAAACAAGGGTGTTCTGACCACCTGGCTGACTACTGGAAACCCTTTTCTCTCTCTGGCCTCCTTGGCAAACCCCTGGGTATCCACCTCGTTTCAGTTCAAATGTCAGCTCCTCAGGGAGACTTCTCCTGACTCCTCAGACCAAGCCAGGTACTTCCTCCTCTTGAGCCACAACTTGAAATTGAAATTGTGCGTTCTTGCCAGACACGGTGGCTCACCCCTGTAATCCCGGGACTTTGGGGAGACCCAGGCAGGTGCATCACTTGAGCCAGGAGTTCAAGACCAGCCTGAATAACATGGTGAAACCCCATCTCTACTAAAAATACAAAAAGTTAGCTGGGCATGGTAATACATGCCTGTAATCCCAGCTGCTAAGGAGGCTGAGGTGAGAGGATCACTTCAGCCCAGGATGTGGAGGCTGCAGTGAGCCAAGATCCAGCTACTGCACTCCAGCCTAAGAAATGAGATGAGACCCTGTATCAAAAAAAAAAAAAAAAAAAAAAAAGAGGGCTGAGCACAATGGCTCGTGCCTCTAATCCCAGCACTTTGGGAAGCCGAGGCGGGTGGATCTCCTGAGGTCAGGAGTTTGAGACCAGCCTGGCCAACATGGTGAAACCCCATCCTACTAAAAATACAAAAATGGGCCAGGTGTGGTGGCAGGTGCCTGTAGTCCCAGCTGCTCAGGAGGCTGAGGCAGGAGAATTGCTTGAACCCGGGAGCGGAGGTTGCAATGAGCCAGGTTTGTGCCACTGCGCTCCAGCCTGGGCAACAGTGCAAGACTCTGTCTCAAAAAAAAAAAAAAGGAAAAGAAAAATACCGGGCGCGGTGGCTCAGCATGTAATCCCAGCACTTTGGAAGGCCAGGGCAGGCAGATCACTTGAGATCAGCAGTTTGAGGCCAGCCTGGCCAACATATCAAAACCCCATCTCTATTAAAAATACAAAAAAAATAGTGAATGCCTGTAATCCCAGCTTTTCGGGAGGCTGAGGCAGGAGAATCACTCAAACGCAGGAGGTGGAGGTTGCAGTGAGCAGAGATCATGCTACTCCATTCTGGGTGACAAGACTGAAACTCCATCTCCAAAAAAGAAAAAGTTATATATTCTTCTGGGTGTCTCTCTGTAGACTCGGTTTCCCCAATTGATCTTCAGCTCCATAAGGTCAGAGCCTGCCTGGTTCACCCAGGTCAAAGATTGGCAAACCACGACCCTATGTCAGATCTGGCTGGCCACCTGTTTTTCATATGGTCCCTAAACTCAGAATGGCTTTTACATTTTTAAACGATTTTTTTTCAAGATGGAGTCCTGCTCTGTCACCCAGGCTGGAGTGCAGTGGTGCAATCTCGGCTCACTGCAACCTCCGCCTCCTGGGTTCAAGCAATTCTCCTGCCTCAGCCTCCTGAGTAGCTGGGATTACAGGCGTGTGCCACCACAGCTGGCTAATTTTTAATTTTCATTAGAGATGGGGTTTCACCATGTTGGCCAGGCTGGTCTCAAACTCCTGACCTCATGATCCGCCCACCTCGGCCTCCCAAAGTGCTGGGATTACAGGCGTGAGCCACCATGCCTGGCTAATTTTTTATTTTTAGTAGAGACGAGGTTTCAGCATCTTGGCCAGGCTGGTCTCAAACTCCTGACCTCATGATCCGCCCACCTCGGCCTCCCAAAGTGCTGGGATTACAGGTGTGAGCCACCACGCCCAGCCTAAACGGTTTTAAAAAATCAAAAGAAAGTAATATTTCAGGACACATAAATATTATATGGAACCCAAATTTCAATGTCCAGATTTTGTTGGAAGCCAGCCACATCCATTGATTTCCAAACTGAGACCTCATAGGGAAGCATTATGAGGACTCCTACACGGCCCCTTACAGAAGGAGACCCAGAATGAGGCCCTAACACACACTAGGTGCTCATCCATGTGTTTGGAATGATGAGAAAGAAAGAAAAGAGTGTGGTCCGGGCGCGGGGGCTCACGCCTGTAATCCCAGCACTTTGGGAGGCCGAGGCGGGCGGATCACCCGAGGTCAGAAATTCAAGACCGGCCAGGCCAATATGGCAAAACCCCGTCTCTACTAAAAATACGAAAGGTAACCAGGCGTGGTGGTGTGCACCTGTAGTTCCAGCTACTCGGGAGGCTGAGGCAGGAAAAATGCTTGAACATGGGAGGTGGAGGTTGCAGTGAGCCAAGATCGCGCCACTGGACTCCAGTTTGGGCAACAAAGTGAGGCTCTGTCTCAAATAATAAAATAAAATAAAATGAAATTAGCCGGACGTGGTAGCGTGTGCCTGTAGTCCCAGCTATTCAGGAGGCCAAGGCAGGAGGATCACTTGAGCCCAGGAGGTCAAGGCAGCAGGGAGCCATGATTGCATCACCACACTCCAGCCTGGGTGAGAGAACAAGACCCTGTCACAAAAACTGAAATTAAGGCAGGTGCGCTGCCAGGCGCGGTGGCTCGCGCCTGTAATCCCAGCACTTTGGGAGGCCGAGGCGGGTGGATCACGAGGTCAAGAGATC